AACAAACAAACAAACAAACAAAACAAAACTGAAAACTATTGGAGTGAAAAAAAAAATCATACAATACCTAGACATTTCCTGGAAGAAAGTCCAGGCAGTCTCACATCAAAAGCATAAGCCATAAGAACCAACTGATACAATGACACCATTGAAATGAAAAACTCCTGCCCTGGAAAGGATGCTGTCTTCAGGTGATGATATAGCTCAGCTGTTACAACACTTGCCCAAGCATTCAGGAAGCTCTGGGTCCAGTCCCCAGCATTACACTGGCCAGCTGTGGTGGCACATGATTACAACATCAACACCAGAAGAGTGGAAGCAGGAAGATCAGAAATTCAAGGCCATCCTTGGCTACATAGCCAGTTCAGATCCAGCCTGTGACACACAACAGTCTTCCGCAAAAAAGAAAAAAGGAAAAAAAAAGATGCTTTAAAGAGAATTAAAAGAGAGAGAGAAATAAAAGACAAGATACCAACGAGAGGAGAACATTGGCAAAGCACATCTCTCATACAAAAAGTTAAGACATGAAACACACAAAGAGGAGCTCTCTTCACTAGCAATAAGAAAACAAACAACCCAACAGGAAAATGGGCTAAAATTGTAGAGGGATCTCATGAGAAAAGATACAGGTAAAAATAAACATGGAAAGGTATTTTACATTAAATGTTATCAGAGGACTGCAAATTAAAACACAGGCCAGCAAGAGGGTTCAGTGGGCAGAGGTGCTTGCCACTAAGCTGAAGAGCAAGAGCTCTGATTCCCAAAGGTTATCCTCTGACCTCTACATGTCTGCCATGGTACATTAACACTCTCTCTTCATCTTTCCCTCTTTTGGGCCCCTATAACGCACACACACACACACACACACAGCAATAAATCAAACAATAGGGCATGCTTGTGTTAAAAGGACAGAGCCCTGAACACCTACATCATCAATTCTGGTAGAAAAGGGAGCAACTGAAACCTTCATTCTTGAGGGAGTGGAAAATGCTGCAGCCAGTGATGGAGACACTAGGCAGTATTTGCAAAATGGATCACACTCTTAACAGCCCTCTCCCCAATCCAAACATCCCACTCCAAGGTATGAACTAAGCAGTAAATTTGCAAGGAATTCTTACACAAGTTCTCATGGCTGCAATCATCTCAAACTGGGCCTTCAGTGAGGGAACTGTCAGATTAGACACACTGCCACATGCACGCACAGGCTGTGGGTCAACAACCAGAGCAACTGGGTGTGGCCAGAAACAGACACAGCTAGAGGTAAAACAGATGGCTGGTGGGGCTCAGGTCAACCATGAGAAGTCATTATGTCTGCACTGCTGGTCCTCAGGCACAAGCACAGCTTCCTGGTTCTGCCATCCTAGTACAGTCAGGGAGGGTGATGAATGAGGGAAGCTGGAGTGTGGGTGATAGTCTTTTCCATAGCACGAATTCAACTTCCCAAGACTCTGTCATTTGTTTTTATTTTTTTAATTCTACTGTTTTTTTTTTTAATATATATTTTGTGGTTCGGTCACATGTAGCTGAGCCTGGCCTTAAGCTCAATAAGAAGCTGAGGGTGACCTTCAACTGCTGACCCTCCTGATTCCCACCTTCAAGGTGCTGTGATTACAGGTGTGTGGTTCTAGATCCAGCTTGAGATCATTCTAAGCATTTTTCTGTGATGTTCAAAAAGTGAGGCAGCGGTGTGTGTGGTGAAGCTGCCATTTTAGATATGTCGCTGGGGCGAGACTCTCCAGTGTGGACCTATGATCAAAGATTGAGGAAAGAAGGCTGGAGAGCACAAAAAGCCAGAAGAGGTTTCAGAAACAGGGCAATAGAGTAACAACGGACACTGGGACACTGAAGGCACAGTTTGAAGACATTTTAGTTCTTCTCAAAATAGAGCTTGTATGATGTTTGGAGAAAAAGGATAAAGGAAGGCACCTGAGGGGTTTTTAACAAAAAGGATCATTCAATGTTTTCCATCTTAATACTCAGGTCTCTACCTTACTTTACCTGTTCCCATAAAGACTCCCAAACTCTCAGCTTCCAGCCCCAAAAATCCAAACCATGAGTGGGGAATGAAGACCAAGCAGTGTTGAAAAGAACACAGAGAAGTCCCTAGAAAGCTGTAGGGCTCCTCCAAGGCCATGAAAGAAGAGCAACTCAAGAAACAGCCATGGGCAGTAGGGAAAGAATGGCGTGCAGGAGCAAGACAAACACAGCACAGCAGGGAAGCCACAGTCCACCATGCAGGCACACATGGCACTGGCTTAGAACAGGTTGGTTGAAGTTGAGCTGAGGTGTGCCGAGCTGGAGGATTGGTGAACCACGTTGCAGGTGGACGCATGGGAACATCAACATGGAATGCTGGAGCATGAAGGTGTCTCATCCCGAACCATGGAAAGGGGACCATGGAAAGGGGCTAGGGCAGAAACCTAACAGGGCCAGGGGTCATCAGGAATCAAGATGATGGATGCAGGCATCCTGAAGGTAGGACCAGAGCTCTGCATCTGGCCTGCAGCAGAGGGTGGGATGGAATCAGCCTTTGGATATGGACAGAGCAGAGCCCAGAACAACATCCTGGACTCAGCAGGTCCCATAATGAATGAAGAAAGGTAAGCAAGAAGACTTAGCAAAGAGAGACAAGCTCCACCACAGGACAGCAAGAGTGGCCACCCTGCCTGTCAATGACAAGCCTGCCTAGATTTACCAGAAAAGAGCAGAGGCAGAGCACACACCCAGTCCTCACAAGGACAGCAGCAGCAGAGACCTGCCAAAGATCCTCTGTCCATCCCACTGTCCTCTTCCAGAGACCCCATCACCCCAACAACAGCAAATTGCCCTGAAAGTCCCACCTTCCTTCTATGAAAACCCAAAACAACCCCATGAGAAATGATGTAAGGAAAGAAGGTTCCAGATAGAGACACAAATCCAATGTCATCTGTGACCATGAGCCATCCCAGTGGGACACAGGGTAGCACTTTAAAAAAAAAAAAGGAAAAGAAACATCCATCAGGAAACCAGAGAACATTCAAGCAGCAAGACCTTCAGGGCTGAGCTGAGTAAATATCCTGGCTGATGTCACTGGCTATGGAAACTGAAAGAGTGGGCCCATTATTTGACTCAAAAGCCTCCAGGAACCTTGCAGACTAGGAGCAAGGTTAGGCACCAGGCTTTGATTTCCTGCCAGGGCTGACCACGGGGTCTCTCCCCTGAGTAAGGTGGGATTCGTTTCTAATTAGAGAAAACATTTTCTGGGGTTGTTCTTGTGTGAACATTGCTGCCAGGCATGGCCAGAAAAGCAGGCTCAAAGCGTCAGAATGTCTTACACATGTAGACTTAGCCCTGAGCTAGAGCGAAGCAGACCATGTTTCCCTGTGGTCTGACAGAAACTAAGAGGCAGGGCACCAGGAGTTCGTGGGTGAGGCTGTGACAGGCACCTGAAACACTGCCTGCTCTCCCACAGCTCATGTTCCCTCTTCCCTAACTTCTCCTTCAATCCCTTGGGCTTGCTGGGGTTTTATGGGGTAGAAATGGCAGGTCTTTAGGTGTCCAGAGTCAGAAGAATGGCAGACACCTAGAAAGTTGGAGACTTCAGACATCAGTGAGCAAATCTCCTCCAACCCCAAGGAAGGACACCTAAGGTTACCTTCCTTCACTCTTCACCCATTTCCTCTATATGCCTTTCTCACTTCCCCACAGTGTGTGACACCCCCCTGCACCTCACCTTTTCCCCTTCCTCAGAAGCCTTAAGGTTGGCTTCCTTGATTTTTGGCTTGTTTGAACTCTCCTCTCCTCCCACTAATTACCCCCCCCCCAAACACACACACTTTTTCTTGATTACCATAATCTCTGAGGTGAAATGACACTCTTGGCATTAAGGAGTGTCTCTGTCTACACCCTGGATCTGATCATTTTGAAGAACCTTCAGAAAATTTCCAGGGTTCAGGAAATTTACTGAGCACAGAAGAGAAGGTAAGACACTGTGCTCTACTTTGCACATCGTTGGACAGTATGTGGACAAGCACACAAAGAGTAAAAATCAACATATCAAGGCAATTCATTTTGCAAAAGAGTGTTCCACCACTCAGACAGGATGCACAAGCACACAAGGCTAGAATTTGCTTGTTTTTGAGGTAACAAGGGTGTGACTGTGCCTTATCCCTAAGGTGCGTTGGTGGGAGCTGGAACTCAAAACTCATGTTACCTGCTAGTTCATAATTGCTGAGAAACGAAAGGGTGTTATAGGGCATGTCAGACAGCACAAACATGGGAGTCAATATGTGGGAGGCTAATGGAATATTCGTAACTGGTAGGTTGCCCACCCATGATAGAGGGAAAAAATGCTGACCAGGTGTGGTAACAGGCAGAGGGGGATGGATGTCTTTGAGTTCCAGGCCATCCTGGTCTAGTAGCAAATTCCAGGACATCCAAAAAGACATAGGAATCCTGTCTCAGAAAAACAAATTATAACAATGTAAGAAATGGAAAAACAGGCAAGGGTACAAAGTCTTCAGAACCCCAGAAACCATTTTGGAACAAGATATGTTGGATTTTAACAAAATTAAGAATATCATTGCTAGGTGTGTTGGCTTGCTTATCATTCCAGGAGGATGAGGTAAGGGAACCATGAATTCAAGGCCAGCCTGGCCACAAAGCTAGGCTGAAACCAGCCAGAGTGCTATAGATGTTATATCAATAAAAATAAAACAAGCAACAACACTTTTAAAACAGTAAAATTTGAGGATGGGAACCGAGTCAGACCCCAACACTGCACAGGAAAAAGGGGTATTGAAATTTTATAAATTTTACATTGAAATTTTTAAATGAAAACTAGAGTATGAAAATAATGAGGTTACCCTACACTCAGCAAGTTCAGTCACTATGTATCTCTAAGAGTCTGACAAAAATGGACCTCCATGGCAGCATGCCAGGGTATGCGAGGGCATCCATGAGGCCCTGTTTTCAGTCTCAAATACCTCAAAACAAGAAAAATAAAAGGAAATTAAAAAACATTCCATGCCACCTAGAAATACATTTATTGTCAGGAATGGATCACTAGCTATTCCCAAATAAACAAAAAATGAGCAGCGTCGATGGGCACAGGGAACTGACCTGCCCTGAGTGGGCTGAACAGGAGCTAGGCACCTCTTTAGCCCACAGGCTGAATATCCCTGCCCTCCTGCCTACCTGAGGGCCCTGGCCCTCTGTCGAAGCTCCCAGCAGAGGAAGGGACAAGCCTGAGTGAGGATGCACAGGCCCTCAGGTAACTGTGTGACAGAGTTTTGCCCACGTTCTGAAGTCTGTGTCTACCATATCACTGAATACAAGGAGCTTAGGCACACAGGGGGAGCTGAAGGTGGTTGATACTCCAGGGACGGACCCAAGTGTGTGGCTAGCCAAGTGGTGCTGGGCCTGCTGGACTCTGGGGTGGGGTGGAGGGTGACACTTAGCAATGTCTCTCAAATCCTTCCAGTTCCAACCCAGCCTCATGTGCCCTGGCTATAGGCCTGGCCTCTCCAGTGGGAACGCAGCTATCAGTTCCTGATTGCCTGATGGTTCTTGGGCACAGCTACATATCTCAGCTTCTTCATGATGGATGGCCAGCCCATCAGCTGCTGGTCCCACATGTACTCTGGGGACAGCACTTTTGTAGGCTTATGGTAGAGCAGGTACTTGTTCAAATGGCTCTCGTCATGCCACACAGCCTCAATGCCATTGGCCTTGTCCTCCACCATAGCCTCATGGCAGGCCTTGGTGAGATGGTGCACCTCTACCACTGACCCCCCAAAGAAGGCCCCCATGTAGTAAAAGTCTCCCTCATCCCAGGGGATGTAAGCCTGGGACTTTGGCCGGCGCTCATAGGTAAAAGCCCCCCTGTTGCTATTGTAGAAGCCAGGATGCAGGGTGCCAAAGAGCGCTGAGAGAATCTCCACGCCCACGTGGTCACGGAACTTCATGTCCACATCTGCACAGACCAGGTAATCCACCTCATGCAGAAAGCGCTGCTCTGAGAAGTGGCTGATCATCTCCATCCGATGCATGGACACGTCCTGCCAGCGGCTGTAATTGCGCACAGTTAGCACAACCAGACGCCGTCCTGTCCCCAGGTGCACCTGTGGAACATCACCTGGCCGGTCAGTGAAGACATAGTAGGTGACCTTGTGTCCCACCATGAAGTGCTGCTCTGCCGTCTCCAGAAACAGCTTCAGGAATACCACATACCTGGGAGGGAGGACAAAGAGGTATAAACTAAACTTACCAAGACAGAGGCCCAGGCTACAGAATCCATGGCTACCTGGAGGCTTGATCCCCCAACTTTACAGTTCTCCTGACCAGTCCACAGACTGTACCTCACTTCACCCTCCTTTGCAGCAGAAGGATGCAACATTAGCACCCCATCTTAGCAAGGAACACTGAGGTAGAATCCTGGATGCTTTCAGCCAGGGAGCAGGCTGACTCCAGACCTGGAGTTCCAGGCAGATCCCCTGAAGGTATCTCTTGTCTTGGCGACTCCTCAGCAGGCCACCTGCCCATGGGTTTGTCATCCTCCCTTTAATAATGACAGCTCCATCCCAAGACATTCCATACCTTGAACCCTTGCACTGGCCTGAGTAGAGCCTGGGCTCCTAAGGCCACACTTTCTCAACCCTGGTGGAACTAGGTGGATCCTCAAGGGCCTGGTATCTGTGTGCCCACTTTGGACACTCTCCAGGGCTGTCTCAGGAAAGCAAAGGGTCTCTGTATCCTAGACCTTCCTCCTCAGAGGCTAGAAGGTGTTGTGGACAAGGGACTCAGTAACTCTCTTAGGTCCCTAAGAGTCATCTCCTGTGAATTTCACCAGAGCAAGAACCAGTCTCACAGGGTAGGCGGGGAATGAGGGAGATAGGCACCCTAGAAGGAAGCACAAGCCTAAACCAAAACCCTCAGGTCCAAGTAAAAAAGGCTTATAACCCAGGTTCTGTGTCATCTTCCAGGCCAAGAAGTTTTCACCTGCTTCAAGGGCTGTTCCTCCCTTGATGACCCCCAGGGCCTCGTGCCCCACCAAGGTAACAGGTGTCGGGAGCAGAGACTCAGCAGCCTGCTTTGATATTTAAATCTCAGTGGAGAGATGGCTTTTAGGAGGCCTTTACTAATGGCAGAGGAGAACTTGCAAGTCCTTCTCCTTTTGTTTGTGACAGCAGGTGGGATAGCTTGTGAGGGTCACACCTCTTCCTCTAGCTCCTTGTGCAAATTAACCTACTGTTCTGAGATGTTTTACTGGCTAAAAGTAACTCCTCACAAATAAAGAGGTCAGAGGGCTAGAGGCAGAGGAGGAGGCAGAGACTTGAGACTTGCTGCTTACTGCAGCAGCCTGCCTTTTGCTGTGGCTGTAGAGTCTGGACCTTTAAAAAGTTTCCTTTGTGCTGTGTGTTTATTTAAATAATATTAATCCTCACTCCTGACTCAAAAACCGTTCGACTCTGCTGGCTGGCTCCCTATCACCTGGCAGTGTGCCAAGCCCAACCCACTTCAACATCAGAAACAGGCAAGTGGCTGTGCAAAGGCTCCCAGCTAGTTCCTTCAGGGGCCTTCTTCCCACAAAGCACCTATCCCACCTGGCAGGGCTCTTGCTCATGTACCAGCAGCACCCAGACAACTAGTGTTTGTGTCTTGTTACTGTATGGTCCTTTGTTCATAGGGGTGGCAGGCATTCTCAAGGTGCCTAAGAGCCCTCTAGCTGAACCCCAAACCTCTCTCAAGTCTGGTGCAAAGGCTTCAGAGCTATCCTTGGACCTCACCCAGCCCTGCAGGGAAGTACAAAGCCCTTCTCAAATGCAGGCAGCACAAATGGTGTCTCTTATTCCCCCACAGCTTTCCATGTTATAATGCTGCCCTGTCTGGCTTCCCACAGGTCCAGACAGGACACATTTCTTGTCTGTGACCTCAGGTCAGCCTGAAGCAGAAAGTCAGGGTTTCCCCAGGTCTATTTTCTGCCACCCCTAGGTCAGAGGTTAAGTGTTGGGATCAGTAAGCAGGCACTTCTACAGCCAGCTCCAAGAAACCTGACAGACCGTTATCAGGCATTTGTGAAGACACCCAGACCACCTGCTGACCACCTGGAACTACCTGTGCATGCTCTAAATCACCCTATAAAGAGAACAGGAGCCTCTCTCTCTCTCTCTCTCTCTCCCCCTCCCTCCCTCTCCTTCTCTCTCTCTGCCTCATCTCTCTGCGACCCCTCTCCCCCTTCCCTTAATAAACCTCCCACGTGGAACCAATCTCGTGATTTGTGAACCCGAGTGTAACCTTCACATTCGCACGTTTCCTAACATTAAGTGTTTCACCCAACCCCTGCTGTCTACCTTGTCCTGAATCTGAGGACACCTCAGTGGCTTCATCTCTGCTGGCATCCTGTTCCTTGCTGCCAGCCCTGGGAATGAGAGACCCACCTGAAGTGTATGCTGAGGGTTACAAATGACACCTCACTGAGAGCACAAAGGACACTGGCCTGGGGCTTTGGGAGGAGGCAGAGCTGGGTTCATTCACCTGGGAGCCCACCAGAGCTCAGGAAGGTGCCACAAGCCCCACCCCCACTGTATCCTAGACACAACCATGGAGCTTGTTATGCCTACACCTTCACCTTGACCCTTGTGCGTGTATATGTGTGTGTGTGTGCACATTGTATATATTCATGTTTGCGTGCCTGTGTGCATGTGTGAAGGCCAGAAGTTGGCTTTGGGTGTCTTCTTCCGTTACTCACATTTTAGTTCTTCAGACAGGGCTCCTTCATTGACTCTGAAGCTCAGTTTTGCTAGCCCGTCCAACAAGCTGCCTGGATCCACTCATTTCTCTCCTCTACTTGATTTGACTACAGTCGAATGCCACCATGCCCAGATGGATGGTAGGGATCACACTCCGATCCTCAGGCCCTGAAGCAAGTGCTTTACCCACTAACCATCGCTCCAGCCCCACTGCTTACTTTTTGATGGCAAACACAGTCAGTCCAATCGTGGTATTCTGAAGCCTGAACTGCTCATTCAGTATGTCGATATTGAAGGTTCCCTCCCAGATGATGGGAGCCAGCCAAGGAGTCAAGACGAGAACGTCTTTCCTACTGCATGGAGAGAGAGCCAGGGGCGACATGTGACCAAAGGTGCCTGCAGGAGCCCTTCTCAGATTCCACACCCTCAGCTTCCCCCAGGGATGATCACGAGGACCTGGGCCAATCAGAAGCAGCTCTCATTGACTACACCCCAGCCATAAAAGCAATTGAGTTTACTACCACCACAACCACCATGTCCCAAATCCATAGTGACAGGGACAGGAGACAAGGAGTGGAAGCCCACGTGAGAAAGGAGACAGAGAAGATGCTCTGGGGCTCCACATCTGAATCAGACAGCCCTGAGAATGTGAAAGGGTAGGTAAATTGAGGCCAATGAGGATTATTCAGATCTTTGTGTTTCTCTGAGTTTAGTTCTTCCCAGTGTTGGAGACTGACATGGAGCCTCAGGTGTGCTGCTCACTCTTCCCCCAGGACAATAGTTTGGTGCCTTTCATGCCTTTAGGACTCTTACGCTGCCCAGGAGGTGACCTAATTTACTCACCTGGGTGATAGCGCCCTTGTCTGGGGATAGGTCATCCTGGAAAAGAAAACAGCAGAACTCAAGTTGACAGGACAGTCATTTGGATGTATGTCACTGGCAGCCATGCACCAGATAGACAGACCTGCATGAGGAGTGGGAGCCAAGCCACCCTGCCTGCCCATGATCCTGGGACCCAAGGCTGAGCCTAACCAGGAAGTGTTAGATCTATTAATTAAAGATGAGGCTGGCAACCCATCTTCTATGAAAGTGGTTTATTAGGTGGATATGAAGGGAAGGGGAAAGGGAGAGCAAGACATGATGGGGAAAAAGAGGAGGGTTGTTGAGAGAGAGAGAGAGAAAAAGAGAGCAAGAGAAAAGAGTAAGAGAGCAACCACGAGTCGGGTTGTCCCTTTAAGGGGCAAGGTAACCCCGAGGTGTGGCCACCTGGCAGATGATACATGATGACATCATAAGTTGCTAGGTAACAAAGAAGCAGGTTGTGTTCCAAAATACTAACAGGAAGATCACAATCTTATTTGACATAAGGAAGGGTGAGGAAATTATGATACTTCTCCCCATATTTTAGGCTGGGAGATCTAAAAACTGTGTTAATTCACAAGCTGAATGAGACTGAACATGTCTATAGATGACAACCATCCCTCCTGGGCCAGCATCCTGCCTTGGTCCTCTCCTGGGTGGTGGCACACAGAATCTTGGCTTTCCTGCTTGGTCAGAGTCCAGTCCTAACATTGGTGTCAAGTGCTTCCAGCGATAAAGCCTGAGCAGTGTGCAGCAGTGGGCTGTCCACACAAGGATGCCAAGCTGCACTGTTGGTATAATATTCTTTTAAAACGTATACGCCTTACCCTTCTTCATTCAAATGCTGATTTCCCCACCCCCAGCTCTCTGGTTTCAATCCGGATATTGCATTGTGATACTCATTATAAGCATCCTGTCTCAACTCTGTGTAAACAGGACAAAATAAAGCAATTAGATACAATGTTGTGCAATGGGAGGAGCCAGAAGGCAGGAAAGGAGTGGGAGGAGAGAGAGGAAGGGAGCTGGGAGAGCAGAGCTGGAGGAGAGAGCTTGGAGGACGTGGAGCATGAACCAGACCTAAGATTTCACAAAAAGCAAGGAAAATGTGGGAAATATAAATGTTATAAAACTGAGGGCTTGGTGGTTTAGGAGGGAGTAAATATTGCCCAGCATTGTGTTCTAGGTTAACTAAAAACCCAGTCTCTGTGTGGTGATTTGGTTATGCAGCTGTTTAAGATTAACAGCACGCTTTACAAGAAGATAAACCAATAGTCTAAAAACTGTGTTAATTCACAAGCTGAATGAGACTGAACATGTCTATAGATGACAACCATCCCTCCTGGGCCAGCATCCTGCCTTGGTCCTCTCCTGGCTGGTGGCACACAAAATCTTGGCTTTCCTTCTTGGTCAGAGTCCAGTCCTAACATCAGTGTCAAGTGCTTCCCACGATAAAGCCTTGATCAGTGTGCAGCAGTGGGCTGTCCACACAAGGATGCCAAGCTGCACGGGACAAGAGCCGCTTTGGCTAGTACGCAGCATGCCCTGAGATGATGTGGAAAGCAGACAGTGGGGCTGGAATGATGTTCAGCAGTAGTGGCAATGGCTACTCCTGCAGAACAGCTGGATTCAGTTCCCAGCACCCAAGTGGAGACACACAACAGTCTATAACCCCCATTCCAGGGGACCTGAGGCCCTTTTATGGCCTCTTTGCCTCAGAGGAATACCGCAGAAGAAGCAAGGTGGGTGACAGGTCCCCCAGTAGGAGCCAGGGCTTAATGCACAGTTTCTATAATGGGATATTCTGGAGATAGATGGTGGAGATGGCTACACCACAGCATGGCTGTGCTTACCGCACTGAACTGTGGCAATTGTGGGCATGGTAAACTCCTGTGCTGTGCCCAGCATGGCTCTTCAAAGGCCAGATGACAGGCACTTAGTCAAAACAAAGTGTAGGGCTGTGTGCTCCACTTCAGGAAGGGACAGAGCAAAGGCCCATGCTACACACACACACACACACACACACACACACACACACACAGCCCTCCATCCACACCGCACAGCCCAGAGCTGAAGAGCACCATGTGAAGTCCAGATACCTTGACAGGGTTACAATTTCCCGGACATCCAGCTCTCTGACAGCCACGCTACAGAAAGAGAACACAAGAGACAGGTTTATACTAGGAGGGTTTAGGGTTCAGTCACACAGAGCCAGGTGGAAGGGCAGAGCGTGCCTGAGGGTATGGTAGTCTATTACTATTACAGAACAACACCATGGTGATCGCCCCGTGGAATTATGCCTCCAGCACCAAAGTCAAACACTGCCATGCCATAGGCCCAAGTTGGGGGGACCCTAGGGGACTGGAGGAAGTATTTAACTTTTAAAATAATTGGTTGATTCTGGGCACCCTTAGGTCTGGTCAGCCCTGTTCTAAATATCTGGGGAATATCTGATCTTCAAGTCAGTTTGGAATTTCCTGCCATATGAGATACACTCGTAGTTAAAGGTGGGAGAGTGATCAACTCATCCTGTGTCTGTTCTGAGGAGTGGAGGCTACAGGCTTTGGGTCAAAAGTCAGGAGCTATTCAGGAGAAGGATTGGGGCCATTTGGCCCAGTTTCCAAACAAAGTTTATCTCACAGGCGCCGGCTGGTGATTTTCTCTCCACTTAGTAGAGATCTCTGTTTTCTTCCTTATCTCTGCCCTCACAGATGGCCAATGTCAGGAACTTTTACATTCCTCGGCTCTTTGGAGAAGCACTAAGAGGTTTTAATTAACATGGGCCTAAAACTTAAAAATATAAGTTATAAGGCAATTAAAAGAAACATAGGTTATGAAGTTAGTCTGATTCTTTCAGTGGCCAAGAAGGGCCCTGGAAACAAGGCCCTCCTCTGGACACCTGCAGTAGTTGTGGACAGCCCCTACTCTGGGCCAGGTCCTATAAGCCAAGGCCACATCAGGACCTATTTCCTGATGTCTCTACAGAAGCCCCAGTAGACATGGCAGTGTCTCTCCTCTGTGGGGATTCACAGACCATCCACACAGAGAAAGGGCTGAACTCCAGGCTCCAGGCCTGACTTCTCTCCTTCCCCAGGCCCACCCTCACAGCTAGAGCCAAATGAATGGGCATCCAGCCCCAGATCCCTTCTGTGGAATCAGAGGCTTCACTATGTGGGCAAGCCAAAGCTGGACATGCTACTGTGGGTGCCAAGCCAAGAGCACCTTCATTAATACACAGTTCAGGGTCCCCATCAGGGTCACAAATGTTGCTCATGAACCTGGATTCTTACCTAAAGAAGACTAAGACAAGCACTAGGAGGGGAAGGATTCCAAGGTGAGTCGAGTAGCAATTTGGTCTTCCTGAAAAACAGCAGCACAGGATCCAGTTACTCTGTCCTTCTCAGGCCTGATGCCCCTCCAGGCCTCTCCTGAGAGTCAGAGGTCATCCTGTGCCCTGTAGCCACCACTCCATCTCAGCCAGCCCCAATCCTGGCTGGAGCTCCAGCCCCACTGCATACTCAGAGGGGAGAGAAGGTTATTCCCTTCCAGCTCATGACTTCAGCAGCTCCCCTAGGCCCTCAGGGTCTCCTTGGGTGCCCATGTCCTCAGGTCACTGAGCATTCTTTCCCATGGTAAACTGAAATCACCAAAATGAATACCTTGGGCTCACTGCTGGCTCTATCTCAGGAGGTTAGGTCCAGCTTCCCCCCTGGCCCCTGTATGTGTACCTCCACAGGGACAGCAACTGGTCTTTTCTAGTGAATTTCTTTCATGCTGGGATTGAAACCCAGGGCTGATGTGTCAAGCTCTGAGCAAAGAGCAGAATGGAAAAACTAGCATGCACCCACTTTCCAGAATCTCTGGTTGGTCAGTTCTCCTGAAGCCAGCACTTTCCACACAGCAGCCATGCCTAACCAGCTCACCAGCAACCACTGCATCTAAACTCCAGGTTTACTTTCTCTGGTGGGACCCTCTCTACCTCCCAGCACACCCCACCAGCTTCGAGCCCTGGGTCTCCCTGCAGTGGTTCTTCTCAGGGCACCCTACTTCCCAGACTCCCACACACCGGGCCTCTCACTTACATGGAGACTCGTGTCTCCAGGCCTACCTCCCATTCCTGCTCACTGTGACAGGCACACTTCCCGGAACCTGGCTTCCTGATACCATCAGTGTTCAACAAACTTCACTGGGGACCAACAGAAATGAAACAATGTGAGTAGCCTAAGAACAGACACTAGTTTGTCAGGTTCCAGACATTTGTCTTAGTTTCAGGCGTGGACCAGACCCTGAACTGGTGTCTCAAGGGTATGAATACACACTGAAAAGACCCCAGTCCTCTGAGGGTCCCAGAACTAATCAAATGAATAGTCTCTGACCTGAGGGCAGGAGAAACTAAGGAATTGGTTTGTTCCTTATCTTGAATGGAGACTCTGTCTCAGACATAAAAATTATCAAACTATACACACTGTATGTTTTACTACATAATAAGTGTGGACATTCATTAGAAGGAAAAGGACATCCCAAGAAATAATTCCCAGTGACAGCAGCAGGGATGGCAGTTGTACCACCCCAACTCCATTCACCCCGTCCACTGTCTCTCTCCAAACCTCTCTCCCACAGCAAAAAGAGAGCAACTCACCTCTTCACACTGAGAGGTCAGTGAGCCTAAACACAGCATGGCTGAATGAACACCAACACTGAGTGCTGGAGTGCTGGAGTGCCCTGCTCTGAGTGATTCCACATGGTAGAAGTCTGTTTTCTTCACCCTATGCTTTGCCCTAAGAGGCTCCATCATCTGGGTTCATCCAGCACAGAATGATAAATGACTTACTCCTGGAATAAAAAAGGATTCACCCTATAAGGGTATGGGTGTGAGTCGAGATCCTAGGGAGGCATATGAGCATGTGAAAATCAAACATAACAGGGGTAAAGGTGTAAAACACTAATCTTATAAAAGCCACTAACTTGTAAACTGTTAAAGATAATTAAGACATGCAAGCTAATGCTCAGTCTCCTTATAAATTATCAAATTCTTCAATGTTCAGAACTATGTTCAGTCATGCTAAGTACAAATGTAACTCATTTACAATGACAAGCTTGTTTTAGCTTCTTGTTTATGCTTTCCAGGTTAAGCTTAAAATAACTAAAAACAAATAAAGTGGGTTTAAAATAAGTATACTTAACAAAGGGTCCTCAAACTCTTCAGAGATCTGCTGGATGTGGCATTTAAAATGTTTAATGGAAAAAAAAAACTTCCAGTGCTAGACAGAAATGCTAGCTGCTAGTGGCTACCCCAAGGTCACCAAAGAAACAAATGGGGCACAGACAACTCCATCTGAATTATGGCAACCCTAACCACTAGGTAAGTATCTGGCCCACCACCATGGCCCTGCCCAATCTGTGGACACTGAGTTGACCGCTCTACTCTACCCCATTAAAGCAGGCTAGTTTTTCCAAGTTCATCTCTCAGACTTTCTGGGTCTGGCAGCCAAAATCATATGTTGTCCTGTGTAGGAGCTAAAAATCCAATGCTGTCCTCTCAGCCAGCCAAAGACCTGTGACTTCTATCCCTCAAGGAAACCATTGAGCCCAGAGGAAGCTAGGGTAACCCAGATAACAGTAAGTTTCTGTCATTTTAATTGGTACATAGTCCCTTTGTATTATACTTCCTGCTATAATTTATCCTTCTCAGATATCTGATAGGTTGAAGGCTAACTGTAGCTTTTTTTAGTTTGGCAGCAGGGAGCAAACAGCTCCTCCCCCAAAGCTGCAGCTAGCTTGTCAGTTCCTTTCATTAGTATAAACAGGCCTCACTTCTTTCTAGAGATTCTAGGTCTCCAGCTGAGAGAGACAGAACAGTTTACCTTGCTGCTAGACTTCACTCTAAAAGAGAAAAACTCACCAAACAGGTTTCAGTGTAACTTTTTATAAATCCCTTATTTAAAGGAACTTGCTTTATAAGGAGTGCTGTCAGTAATCAACCACCTGTGTCTCATGGTGAATGAATGCACAAAACAAAAGCATGTGAAGTACCGTGGGAGTCTAAGGAAATGTTTTCTTTTCTTTTTGTTTGCTTTATAATTATTTAATTCAGTTTAAATTGAATTAAATAATTAATTTAATTTTTTATTAAATTAAATAATTTAATTATTTATTGTAATTAAATAAATAATTACAATATTTTGTTGTAGCCTCCTCTGCTCCTAGCCCCACCTATTCTCCTTGCCTAAGAAAATGTTTTGTTTTTTTTTAATATATTTTTTACTTATTACAATATATTCACTTTGTGTCCCAGCTGTAGCCCCCTCTGTTTTAAGATGTGTAAATGCAAGACACAAAGGTCTGCTGAAGTAAAAGCTTGGTAAGTTATCGGTATCTAAGAAAGTGATTTAAAGTATGTAAATGAAATTGTAAAAGTCTGGGAAACTGATTTAACAGCATGTAAAAGAAATGAAAAGTATTTCAGATATCTTTCTCACTATAGTGTCGTTAAACTAAGACTTGTAAAGTTCAGAATTTTAACATTAACAGATGAAATTCTGATAAGCTGTTAAGCTAGCCCTGGCAATTTTCCTACAGTATAGATTTCAGTACAGATTTCAAAGTCTGGTAATGCTAATGCCACTAAAACTTTTATCTCATTTGTAAACTTAAAAAATTATGTAAGCTTACAGGAAGTCATCTGATGCTTAAAAATCTGCCTCTCGTAGGTTAAAATAGACTCTGGATAAGAACTCCTGTCAATCAACACTCTGAGTTTCTCCACCTGCCTTTTGCTGAGGGAGAGACCTCCCCCTTACCCTGGTCTTTGGTCTTTCAATTCCTCCCTTTCCCCTGGCTACCAGGACCATGGTGCTGAAAGTTTCTAATGTATATCCAAGATTAAAATATTCCTCTAAACTCCTTAACTTACATTTTTCCCTAGTCTACAGCTGTCCTAGCAGATTTCTAATCAAATGAAGACTGAAAACTATTTTAAATGTGGCATCCCTAGGTGCTTTTGAAGGAATTTCCAACCCTCCTGAGCCCCTGCATCCTACACTGCCCCAAAGCTGTCTACAATGGACCTGGACACCTAGCAAGACAGATGTCCCTGAACTGCACTTTTCTTTTCTTTCCCACCCTTTGACCATCATTCCAGCCTTGCTGCTGGCCACCAATAGTGACAACTCAAATTCACCTCAGAAGCAGATATAGAAGAGATTATGTTGTCCATATCATCAACAAAAGGCAGGAATGTTGGGGCCTGAGGATATCGGGAAAATATGTATAACTGAGGTGTCTACAATCTAGTTTGACTGCCGGCCAGTCCCAGCTTTGCAAGCATATGTTGCAGAGTCCTGTCTACTCTCAGAACTTCTCACCTCTGCCCTCCACTTTGAACCCCTTTAGTGCCTGATCATCTGTTCCCTTCTCTCCAGTTTCTTCCCCTCTCCCCAGCTTTCCTTTCATACATAACTCAGCCATTTTGACTACACTTTCGTGGTTCTTCACTCCTGGCTCTGTGCCTGGATCTTTGTTCCATCAGTTTTTCCCTCTCTCCTATCCTTTCTCTTCTCTTTATCTTTTGCTATCTCCATCCCTCTCTCCTTTCAGGGCTTGGCCTATTTGGCTGGCCATATTCCATTTGGCTTCATACATATACCTCTGGCTGAATTCTCCCTCTTACCTACAATAAAAACCTTCTGAAGCATGCCTAGGTACATCATGTCCTTATTTTCACTCATTCTCTACAAGCATTATAAATCAGTTAACCCCTGCCCTCAGCATCATAAAATGAACAAATTTGCCATCTCAACCCCAAGGGTCTGTTACTCCTATATCAACTTAATTTCTGATCTCAAAGGAAAAGGACATAAATGACAAATTCAGCTGTGGAAACCAAGATGTTATTATCCTTTTTGATGCCTCCCAAGCTCCTTCTTTATGTGCTTTTGGTCTCCCACAACAAACACAGTTATCCTCTTTGCAGGACAGATCTCACATCATTACCTCAGTGATAAGATTCTACAACTCCCACAGAACAAGGCTTTTGTTGCTCCTGTGGTTTCTTCTTTTCCCCTTTGCCTGGTGCCTCACACTTTGTATTACGCTGGGCCACACCTCAGCGAAAGCTGGGTCACTCTGCCTTCCTACATTTGCTGTGCTAGTAGTTTCTCATGTGATCAAAACAAATGTATGTTTTCAAGAGCTTTCCAAGCCTTGTCCTCTGAGGATAAATGGTGGCATTCCTTCCATCCCCCTTCCTCACCCCACCCCCACGAATGTCTGGTGTATTTCTACCCTTTGTAGAAACACTTGAACAATCTGCCCAGATCAGAAACCCCAGGCTTTCTCCCATCCTGCCACTTCCCCCTGCCTGCCTCTAACCCAGCTGCCCTGGCCACTGGGCAGCCTTTATCTGCTTTTTCTCTTCATTCCTCTGACAGTTTACCCACCAGACATGGCTGAACAAATGGAGGATAAACTGGCTCCCTTGGGTGTCCAGCCCTCCACATACCTCTGATAACACTTTTAAAGACACTGAGATCTACACTTAAAATTGCTAAGATTGGCCAGTAAGATCTCACAGTAAATTTCTGCCTAAGATTGACAGCCTCAGTCTGAGCTCCATGAGGTAAAAGAGAAGCATCTCCACAGAGTTGCCTTCTGACTTCCTCACAAAACCCATGTGTACACATTGCACACAGACATGAGTAAGAAAATTCTGTCTTCTTTGTTATGGGGTAAAATGGTTAAGATGATAAATTTGTTTTATATTTTACCACAGGTAGAAAAGAGGGAGAGTGAGAAATGAGTTATTTTTGTTTTGTTTTGTTTATCTAAGGCAGGTGGCTGCCAAGGGCCAATACTCCATAGTCTCCTCCATCTTGTAAAACTCTCCTGTACTTGCCCGTTGATTCTAGCACACCTTTACCCTTTGTTCTGATGAGGATTAAGCAAATGACATCAGATTGTAAGGTCCAGATCCCACCAATGGGAGGAGACACAGTCACCACTTGAGCCACAGTAAAATCTAAGTGGACCTTGTACTCTCATGAGCTATGTGCTCACACATAACAAGCACCTCTGGCAAAAAGAAATCCTCTTCCTGGATTAATTTTGCTTTGTTTGTGTGTATCTTTGTGTAACACCAAGAATATTCTTTTGTAACCAAACAATCCTGGCTGTACCAGCTGAGGGCTGGAGAGCCAGACCCACCCTCCCAACATCACCCCCTCCCCTCCAGCCATGCAGGATTACTGCCACTCAGCCACCTGGAGACTCCTCTCCTTGGCCCTCTTCCTCCCCTTCTCCCCACAGGTGGTCTGGACCCCTCAGAGCACCTGTAAGGCCAGGTTCATGGGCACTGACCACCACCTGTGTCCTGGAATACCGAGGCAGGTGGAGTAGGGGATACCCAGTAGAAGGACGGACAGTTTCGTTCAAGTCCTTTTATGGCAGCCTTGACTAGTCAGATCAGCACTTCCCACTCTGACAGAACTCTGCCCCACTCACTCGCCCCTCAGCAGTACACATGCACAAACACAGATCCAGGGATTCTTAGGGTTCCTGACTGTGCAGCACTCCTAGCCCTGCCCCAGCAGCAATGAAGCCCCAACCAGATAGTTAACAATCAACAGAGAGCACTCACAGCCCCTTTCCTCACCCCTCAGCTCACCTCTGAGGTCCATGGCAGGGCCCAGGATGGTTCTGTTTCTGTGCAGCTAGTTGTTAGTCACAACTCAGACCTCAGGCACAAAGCAGGACTCACCCTCAGGAGAGACAATACACAGTCCTGAACACCTGTGGGCGGGGTAAAACTCTGGCAGGCTCCTGATTTGCCCAGTGTGTCTAAGGGAACCAGGTGTCCTCAGCCAGCTATCCCCAGGAACACAGGCAGTATTTAACCTACACCTCATATCCCAGGGATTGTGGATGCTTCTCCCTCCTGTCATGCTCTAACCTGCCTTTGCTGTGGTCCCCCAAATCTGTCCCACTGTCTTCTTCAGCTTACATTTCTTCCTTAAGCTAGCAGCCTCCCCAAGCTCTCCCCACCTGACTGTTTTGTTTTAGGGTGTTCTCTCTCTTTCTCTCATCTTTCTCCCTCCTTTCTCTCCCTCTTTTCTCATCTCTTTTTCTCTCCCTTTCTCCCATGCTCTTCCTCCCTTCCCTCTCTCATTTCTCACTTTCCTCTCGTCTTCCTTCTGCTCCCTCTCATGTTTTCCTCTTCTTCTACTTCTTCTCCTTCATATCCTCCTTGTTATTCCTCCTCCTCTCATCTTTCCCAGTCTTTTCTCTCAACTCTCTCACCCCATCTCTTTATCTCTATATAAAACTCTGATGGGTGTCATGTATCCCAGACTGGCCTAAACTTTACTATTGTAGACCTTGCAGGCCTTAAACTCACAAAGATCTTCCTGTCTCCACCTTCAAAGTGCTGGCTAATCTTGTCAACTTAATTTAGAAATTAATGTGATTTAGAAAACCTAATGTGAACCAAAGTTCCCCAAGTACCTTCTTCAAGGCTGATTAACTGATTATGGAGAACTTGGAATGTTGCCATACCAGAGTCTATCTGGTACCTTGGGCTATCTTTACCATCCTTAATAGCCATTTCATGCCCACCTCTGTGTCTGACCTAATAATTTGTGACTAACAAGTAAAAAAAAAAAAAAAAAAAAAAAAAATTACAGGCATTAACCTAACATACCATATAAAAGTAACTTTTATTCACCTAATGTAATTGACAGAGGTTTCTGCCTCTGCCTGCTAACTTAGGCCTAGTCCTGGTAGCTTCTAGCCTCTGAGCAATCTATTCTAGGCCTGCAGTGCTTTCAGTATCTGAGACTTACTGCCAAATAACCTCACCCTTTCTAGCTCTTTCTGAGTTCTGGCTGGCTGGTTCAACTCAGCTGTTCTGGCTCAAACTCCTCTCTAAGCTGACTAATTCAAACTGGCTTGTCTCAGCTTCTAACTTTTTACTCTGCTTGGCCTCAAACTAACTCTAGCAATCTGTTCTAATCTTCTGGTTCCTTCTCATTCCTTGTCTCATTCTGTCTCCACCTGTGTTTAGCTTGATCTCTCCCCAACCTGTTTTTGTAAAATTGTCCCAGTAAAACTGCTCACCCCCCCCCAACCCCACTGCATTGCTCTAAATTCTGACTTTCCTGTCTCTTCTAGTGTGAGTTAGGATTATCCTATCCTGAAACATTCTGTCAAATCTTTCTGTGATTTGTCACTTTGTCTGCCTCTCAATTAAGTGTCATTTTCAAACATGGTTGCTTCCTTCTACAAACTAACTTTTACCTTCATTGTTTGAGATTAAGAGTCTCTATTAAGAGTGTGTCTCCATTCCAGCCAGAGTAGACATGTTGCTGGACTAAAATTCCTCTACAACACAATTCTCTCTACCAATCAAAAGGCTAAGAATGTCATCAGATAGTAACAAAGGCTTGCAGCAGTGATCTCCCCACTGGGCTTTACCGCACCAACACCCTGCTATGTTCCTTTTTTTCTGGAATGGTGGGGAACTAGAAAGTCCCCAAGGCTATATCCTAAAATGCTTTGTCTAGCTACTAGATACAATGTACTGGGAAATGCTGTTTTTAGCTGATGTAAATGACATAATGCAACCTCCTACTGGCTTCCTGGAGGGTTGTGTAACCTACTGGTTACTTGGTTGCTACCTGCTTATACTTTCTCTTAAGAAAAGCCTGCCTTAGAAGCAGACCAGTGTCACAGTTTGTCTCCCAATCTGCTCTGCCTTTCTGCCCAGTCAGTCTTTGTCCAGCACTCAATAAGCTTCTATCTACCTGAATCTGGTGTCCAGGTGGTCAGTGTACAGGCTCTTCTTGCACCCCAAGAACAATGGCTTCTAAGTTTTCATAGCTTGGAGGGTACTTTAACACAGATCTGAGTTGTGTCCCAGCCAGCAAAAGCTCAGGCAAACTGCCTTCTGCCAGCTTCATGCAAATGGGCTCATGATAGAAAGCTCGCAGCTGGGATGCTGGTCATACAGCTCTGGGATGTTAGAGATAATGTCCCTTTGGGTAAGAAGCTGGAATACACAATGACCCAACATGCTCTTGCCCAACTTCATTTTCTCCACTAACACGGATGGCACAGCTGAAAATGTCGCTTCACAGTGTTTTTTCTTTTATTGTGACTTGGGAAGAGGACCAGACTTGGAGAGTTTTTAACTCCAGCACCTGAACATGAGTATTCTACAGACTTGGAAAGTCTTCATGATTTTACAGCACTATACAGTCAGTGATTGAGAGTATGTGGTATGGGCAGAGGGAGACACAGAGCATAGTGGAACACGATAGGGAACAGAAAATGCAGAACCACAGATATGCAGCCAATGTGTTTGTTTACAAGAGTAAATTAGCCCAATGGAAAAGGACAGTCTCTTCCAGAATTTATGTTGAAATAATTGGGCACCCACGTGAGGAAAAAAAAAAAGCACACATGCCTGTCTCATAAAAATTCTCTTTAGATGAGTGTGATTTGGTAAACTTTAATCCCAGTTCTTAATGAGTGGAGGGTGAAGGATCAGGAGTTTAACATATCCTTGGCTGTATAGTAAGTTCAACATCAGCCTAGATATGAGATTCTGCACAAAAAAAACCTGGAAACAGGTCTTAAACTCAACTATGGAGTGAAAAAAAATACAATACTTAAACAATTCCTAGAAGAAAATCTAGGCAGGCCCACAGCAAAAGCACAAGCCATAAGAGCCAACTGATACAATGACACCATTGAAATGAAAACTCCTGCCCTGGAAAGGATGCTGTCTTCAGGTGATGATATAGCTCAGCTGTTACAACGTTTGCCCAAGCATTCAGGAAGCTCTGGGTCCAGTCCCCAGCATTACACTGGCCAGCTGTGGTGGCACACGATTACAACATCAACACCAGAAGAGTGGAAGCAGGAAGATCAGAAATTCAAGGCCATCCTTAGCTACATAGCCAGTTCAGATCCAGCCTGTGACACACAACAGTCTTCCGCAAAAAGAAAAAAGGGGAAAAAATGCTTTAAAGAGAATTAAAAGAGAGAGAGAAATAAAAGACAAAATACCAGCGAGAGGAGAACATTGGCAAAGCACATCTCTCATACAAAAAGTTAAGACATGAAACACACAAAGAGGAGCTCTCTTCACTAGCAATAAGAAAACAAACAACCCAACAGGAAAATGGGCTAAAATTGTAGAGGGATCTCATGAGAAAAGATACAGGTAAAAATAAACATGGAAAGGTATTTTACATTAAATGTTATCAGAGGACTGCAAATTAAAACACAGGCCAGCAAGAGGGTTCAGTGGGCAGAGGTGCTTGCCACTAAGCTGAAGAGCAAGAGCTCTGATTCCCAAAGGTTATCCTCTGACCTCTACATGTCTGCCATGGTACATTAACACTCTCTCTTCATCTTTCCCTCTTTTGGGCCCCTATAACGCACACACACACACACACACACAGCAATAAATCAAACAATAGGGCATGCTTGTGTTAAAAGGACAGAGCCCTGAACACCTACATCATCAATTCTGGTACAAAAGGGAGCAAATGAAACCTTCATTCCTGAGGGAGTGGAAAATGCTGCAGCCAATGATGGAGACACTAGGCAGTATTTGCAAAATGGATCACACTCTTAACAGCCCTCTCCCCAATCCAAACATCCCACTCCAAGGTATGAACTAAGCAGTAAATTTGCAAGGAATTCTCACACAAGTTCTCATGGCTGCAATCATCTCAAACTGGGCCTTCAGTGAGGGAACTGTCAGATTAGACACACTGCCACATGCACGCACAGGCTGTGGGTCAACAACCAGAGCAACTGGGTGTGGCCAGAAACAGACACAGCTAGAGATGGAACAGATGGCTGGTGGGGCTCAGGTCAACCATGAGAAGTCATTATGTCTGCACTGCTGGTCCTCAGGCACAAGCACAGCTTCCTGGTTCTGCCATCCTAGTACAGTCAGGGAGGGTGATGAATAAGGGAAGCTGGGGTGTGGGTGATAGTCTTTTCCATAGCACGAATTCAACTTCCCAAGACACTGTCATTTGTTTTTATTTTTTTAATTCTACTGTTTTTTAATATTATTTTGTGGTTTGGTCACATGTAGCTGAGCCTCTCCTTAAGCTCAGGGTGACCTTCAGCTGCTGATCCTTCTGACTCCAACCCTCAAGGTGCTATGATTACAGGTGTGTGGACCTAGATCCAGCTTGAGATCATTTTACGCATTTTTCTGTGATGTTTAAAAAGTGAGGCAGTGGTGTGTGCGGTGAAGCTGCTGTTTTAGAGAGACTTGGTTAGGGCGAGACTGTCTGGTTTGGACCTATGAGGAAAGAAGGCAAGAAACTGTAAACAGCCAAAAGGAGTCTCAGAAACATGGCAGTGGAGTGGACAAGGGACCTTGAGTCTGTCCCCATTGATGGCAACCCTGTGAAGACATTTAGTTCTTCTCAAAATGAAGATGATAACTTGTATGAAGTTTAACAAAAGGGAAAGGAAGGTGCCCGCAAATCTCCTAACAGTAAGGAGCATCTGACTTTTTCCATCTTAATACTCGGATCTGTACCGTTCTTTACCTGTTCCCTTCAACACTCCCAATTCTCAGCTTCCAGCCCCAAATATCCAAACCTTGAGTGGTAATGAATACACAGTGGTATTGAAGAAAACACAGAGAAGCCCCTAGAAAGCTGTGGGGGTTCTCCAGGATCACAGGGGCGTAACTCAAGGAACAAGGAAAGGCAGTGGGGAAAGAATGCCATGCAGCTGCAAGCGTAGACACAG